TATCTTTTTTTCTTTGCGGACTGTACATATACAATGAATCACGTTATAAGCTGGTTGAGTAGGTAAACACTGTTTAAGCACTATGGATCGCATGAGCAAATCTTGTTTATCCCCACCAACGTTTATCAACTACACGCTAAAAAGAAGTTCTTTGCAATAAGCCGGTCCCTCAATGGACTGGTCGTAAGGACACGGTTCCCAGTAGAACACCGAAGTGAAGCATCACTGGCTGCGATCAGTAAACGGGTGGGTGATCACTTTGATCAGCCTGCGTAAGGATCCAAGTTGCACGGTATCGGTCCTCGCTAAGCTGTTCTACTCGTAAAGGGCTGGACTTCGTGATCAGGTCTTCAGGCTGCAAAAACAGGAGAGCCATCCCCATCGCTGAGTATCAAAATTGAGATGGCATGTCTTGGGATCATCCTCAGGAATGTTTCCTTGACCGTCGCCAATAGCCCATTGTGCAGCTCTAGTGCGACGTAAATAAAGTACCAACCATTGCAATAAGCCGAGTCCGTGGCTGAGGGACATCCACCTAATACCAAATGCTCTGAAGTATGGCTGTGGCATGTTCGAATCCTGAAGTAACAGCAAATGTATCTTTGTGGTAGTCATCTTTAATCTGTACTGTCCGTTCTCCTTCACCATAGCAACCGTATATTGTTCGTTCTTTGTATTTAGAATACAAGTCCCCACATGTATGTGAGTAACTCCCATAGTTGTTCTTTATTTACGTCGCACTAGAGCTGCACAATGGGCTATTGGCGACGGTCTGGGAAACATCCCTGAGGATGATCCGAAGACATGCCATCACAATTTTGATCCTCTGCGGAGGGGATGGCACCCCCGCTTCGGTAGCCCGACGACCTGCACGTGAAGTCGAGCACTTTACGGTAGAACAGTTTAACGAGGACCAATACCGCACACCCTCGGTCCCTACGCAGGCTGATCCAAGTGGTCACCCACCCGCACACTGACCGCAGCCAGTGATGCTTGACTTCGGTAATCTGCTGGGAACCGTGTCTTAACGATCAGTCCACTGCGGGACGTAACTCCCATAGTGAACTGATTGTAAAACACGATTCCCAGTAGATCATCGAAACAAAGCATCACTGGCAGCTGGCAGTGAGCGAGTGGGTGACCAATTTGACCAGTCAGCGAAGGGGCCGAGATTGCGTGATGTCGATCATTAAACTGTTCTATTGTAAAGTACTCGACGCGTATCGTAAAATTCTAATTACGTAGGTTTTCGGACTATCAAAGTGAGTGAGCCATCTTTCATAAATTAGATATAAAATACATAATTTATGAAGCAGAAAGTTTATGAATGTATTTAATAAAGGAGTACATGAACTGAAGTGCCAAACACAAAAGTAGCAGGTTCAAATCCGTCCGTAATCTTTGTGATATATTTTTTCTAACTATTGCATTGTTCTTGACATTTACAAGGGTTTATAAACCATGCTTTATGATTATCCCAAAAGCATATTTAGTAATAAATGAATGAACCAAGATGCTGATATTTTGGATTGTGACAGAGAAGACCACAGGTTTAAGCTCCTAAGAGGTCATTCGCACACTGACTGACCGCTGCCAATGATCGTTGACTTCACTGTTCTATGTCTTACTGTGTCTTAAGAGGAACTGTGTCTTACGATCAAGTCCTTTATAAACTCTGCTTTGCCATAGAATTTCATACGAATGAAACTAAGAAATAGACGCTGGGTTGACCGAAATCAGCCCTTACATGTAAGCGATTAATTGTAATAGTGTGAGCTTTGTAATAACTCAGAGAAACAAGATGGAGAGATATGATATAATAGATGAAGATAGGCTAAATATTTGAATTGGAATGTCTCAATAATTCCAAATTCAAGTCTCTGAATCATTAAAGAATTACATCTTATCTCTTGACAAAATTTATTCCTTTACTCAAAGCATATCCAGGGAAGGCTCAGTTCGATTGTACTTGGTACTTTCATTTAAATCGTGCTAGAACAGCACAATGGATTATTGGCGAATAGCTGTAAAACATCCCTATCTATCTTGGCAGAATTAAGTTCCTTAATGCCAGTTTACAAAGAAATGGAGAGTAATACCAACATTGATGTAAAAAATCTTACTAAGGCGGATATGTTTAAGGAAGTGGCGGGTTCGAATCCCACAGTAACCCTATATGTATTCTTTGTGATGTTCTTCTCTGTATTGTGCTATCTGTTCTTCTATTTGATAAAGGTTTATAAGCTGTAAATGAGCACACAAACCTGCAAATGTATGTTATACCAATAAAGAAAGAAATAAACAAGTGAAAAGTGTAAACACAATATTTTCTTTCTGCATTTCATCTATAGTTATATTTGTGCTGCGTATCATTTGGTTTTATTTTTACTTTTCGTCTGCTATTACTTCTATTGTGCTTTCTTGTCATTTAAGTCATGTTGAATACTGAGCTTGAAACATTAAAAAACTAATAAACTCAACATGCAAAGACTACAAAAACAATAAAAACTTTTATGGTGATTCAAATTGTATCAACTAAATAAGATTGTAAGAGAAACAAGTCCGGTGAGTACGTCTGATATTTTGACATAATAAATATTAAACTACCTTGTGTTTCTAGTCCAGTATGTTTTTAAAGTTGATGTTTTTTAAAGGAAAATCAGTTTATTTGAAATTATGCCTTGAACAGTAATGTTAAGATACAAAATATAGGAAATGCAAGTTTGGTACGTCCTACATTTTGACATATTTAATAATAAAATATCGTGTGCTTACCATGCAATATGTTTTTAAAATTTATGTTCAGAGTTAAATATGATGTTAGATTCTGTTTAGTCATGGCAGTATGAATATTATGCCGTTAAATTTGACGATTTATTGTATTTGGATTTTAATTGTTATGCTAACTAAATGTGGACTTGAGTGTGATCGATTTTGAACTAGTATGATTTGAAGTCTTAAAACACTCTCAAGAGTGTATCAATATTTGTTTTTTCATATTCGATAAAGAATTAGCAATACAATTTTTAAAATTCTAGAGCAATTTACGAGTAAAAGTTAACAGAAATAAGTTGGCAGTCTTATTAATATTAAAACATATCGGGCATTTCCAGTAATTTTACAATATTTTTTAGTTGAGACAAAAGTTGTGTTATTCTATCTTTTTATCTGTTATTTCACAATTTCAATTTTTAAAAATAATGGAATCAACCGAAAAAAGCAAAAGAGAGCTTATTTTCGTAAACGCAAGTTCCTTACATTCACAACCAACTTTTTGCAATAATTCATATAAGCAAGCTGCATAGCGCTTACATAAAAAATAGCCAGCTCAAATTTAATTCAAAAATTAAATTAAAACATGAAAAAAATATCCCTACTGTACTCTCAAAAAATTTGAAAGTTTGAATATCTATAATGAACTATTTGCTTAAATAAACCAACTAAAAACGTAAACAAGCTAATTGAAAGTTTTTAAATAACTTGTTTTCTCAAAAATCTCTGCTAATCTTTTTTTAGGTGTAATTTTCAGTTTGAAGTTTCAAATATTTTCTAAATTCTGAGATTTTAACCAGTCATGCATGTTAAAAGCAAAAAAGAACATTCAAACATAAGATATAGTAATTTCCATTGCAAAGAAAGTTGTATCGATTTTGAATTCTGGAACTTCAGGAAATCGAAATTGCAGTGATGTGTAAAGAAAATATTATTGCCATGAGAAAATAAATTGTTAAGTTAACCTTTTTAGGTTACGTAGTTTATTGTTTTAAACTAGGCAATTTAGCTGCTCGAATTTTCCTTCCATTTATGGAAATCTTAAAATCGAGATGGAATAAAAAAAAAATTTAAATCAAAGCAATTTATTGTTTCATGCGTTATGTAATAGGTATGATAACCATTTACAATTATGCTGGATAATATTTCAAATGGAGTTGCTAGGATGAAGATTGTAAGCAGGAGCGTTGTAAGGATATACTTCTTCTTCTTCTTCATAAGCGCAAGAGCCTTTCACAGGCCAAGGCTGACTCGCAGATTTTCCTCCATCTGGTCCTGTCCGGTCGACGACCCGCCATCGGTTGACTCCCAATAGCTTGAGGTCCTTTTCAATGTCGTTCATCTTGTAGGTGGTCGTCCCCTACGTCTCGTCCCTTCAGTTGTGGAAAAAGTCACTTTTTTGGCAGGGACGGCATCAGAATTTCTGAAGAGGTGGCCCAGCTACCTAATGCGTGATGCTTTAATAGTTCTCACAATGTCGGTCCCACCGAATTTGTCATATTTTTTGTAAATTTCGTGGTTGTAAAGAATTCGCCTTACGTTATTTTCTTGAAGAGATCAAAAGATTTTCCTCAAAATTTTTCTTTCAAAAATTAGCAGTTTTTCCTCCTCTGTTTTGTTTAGGGTCCAGCACTCACTTCCATATACGGATATACTTACTTCAGTTAAATATCAGGCAAGCATCGTATCAAAGCTGGACAATATTTTAAATAGAGTTGCTGCCATGAAGATTGTAAGCTGGAGCGTTGTAAAGATATACTTACTTTAGTTAAATATTAGGCAAACATCGTATCAAAGCAAAATAAGACTAATTTGAGAAATTTGTATTTTTGGCAATATCCTTTTGCTGCTTCATAATAATTTTAGAAATTCCGGTTCATCTTGAACCATCATTTTGTTCAAAATTGCTGCTACATTAATATGGTGTAAATTTAAAACATATTAAGCTTGAAATAATCCTTCTTTCAATTGAACAAGCTGTACTATTGTTCAGCATGAATCAAAACATGTTCAATTTAACGTCTTATTCAAATTTCTGCAAATTTGCATATCATTGGTTTAAGGTACCGATTTTATGGTTCAACGTTCTATGATTCAACTATGTACAGATCAAAGTTACATAGTTCAACGTTACATTTAAATTGCAGCTTTTTAACATTTTATTAAAGTTTTGGCAAATTTACGATTGCGATAGATAACGATATTATGGTATATTTAAAATCAAACTCTTTACCGTAAATTTCTCTTAAATTATCCAACTGGGGAGAAATTGGACAGAACATAAATGTCTACGAAATTTTTTAATTTTAGTTTTTCTCATTATTGTTCATATTTGTTATGGCTCTGGTACTTTTATTTACATAGCAGTAGAGCTGTACAATGGGCTAGTAGCGACGGTCTGAGTTTTAGTTAAATTTTTTTATTTCATTTTTCTCATTATTATTCGGATTTGTTATGGCTCTGGTACTTTTATTTACGTAGCAGTAGAGCTGTACAATGGGCTAGTAGCGACGGTCTGAGTTTTAATTAAATTTTTTAATTTCCTTTCTCTCATTATTATTCGGATTTGTTATGGCTCTGGTACTTTTATTTACGTAGCAGTAGAGCTGCACAATGGGCTATTAGCGACGGTCTGAGTTTTAATTAAATTTTTTAATTTCATTTTTTCTCATTGTTATTCAGATTTGTTATGGCTCTGGTACTTTTATTTACTTCGCAGTAGAGCTGCATAATGGGCTATTGGCGACGGTCTGAACTTTAAATCATTAGTTCTCGGAATTAACTGTCTCAGATTCTTAAGAAATGAAGTTACAGTTATTTTTTCGTATACCGAAAAACCAAAACCGGAAGTAAACTACCGGAAACGAAACGAAAATGTTTTTAGCTATGCTTTGAGTATTTTTACCTTCTTTTTTTTGTATAATAATTTTGATAAAAATAATTTTTAAGACAAATTTTGATTTGAATAATTTTTAAATTAAATAAAATTCATGTTCAGATGTTATTTTCGAATAAGTAATTTTTGAAGAACGCTGATTTTAAAAAAATTTCTTTACATTAAGACACATTACAAAAAAAAAGTTACTTATATAATTCTATCAAATTTTGCATGTAAATTTCGTATAATTTTAGCTACGTTTTAACTAAAAGTTAAGGTCTAAGTGTGAATTTAATATTTTGATAAAATTTTACTTTCGAATATTAGTTTTTCTCTACGATAGTCTTTGGGACATTTTTCTAGCATTTTAATTCAAAAAACAGGTAATAACATTATTGATCTAGAAAAATAACTATTTTTAAATTAATGCATTACAATTTGCTGTAAAGATGTTAGCGTGACATGAAAAATTTGCAGTTTTTAAGCTCAAATTTGCCCCTATTATGAAAAATATTTTATAAAATTTCAAGCTTTTCATTAAATTTGTAATTTTAATACTCCTGCTTACTAAATGTAAAATTAAAATTTTAATTAAGCATTTTTTGAAAAAAAAATACATCGTTAAAATTTGGTATCATGACAATTTTAGAAACTTTATTCGCAATTTTTTTAATAAATTGACTACACTTTCTTTGCTCAGTTAGAAATGTTAATAAAATGTTTCGATAATGGTTACAGAATTGTTGCAACGTATCGACAGTTTAAAAAGTAATTAAGAAAAATCGCAGAAAAAATATAATTTCTTAAATTTATTTCCAAATTTCTTCATTGAAAATTGGTCTAATTTCTGAAACATTAATAATTATGTACTTTCGACAAGAATCATACATTTATTTGTTTAATTAAAAGATAATTTGTCAAATAATTAAAAGAGACATTTCTGAAACATCAATAATTCTGCACTTACGACAAAAATCAATGTATTGATTTTGCTTTTAAAGTTATTTTCTTTTCTGCTAAAATTATCCACCGTTAATTTTTAATTTAATTCATAACTGATTACTCATATTTTTTGACCAAGTTTACAAATAGCAAAAACATTTTTACTTTCTGACATTATTCGAAAACGATTCCTTTTCAATAACATATTAGTTTCAATAAATTATGTATAGTTAAAACATCACGAAAAGCAACAAAAAAAAACATCTTCCTAAATAAAACTGATTTAAAATCATGTCATAAATTTAAAAATAGATTTCAAAGCAAATCCTCCAAACCGTTTAAACATAAATAACTGCCTTTTAATATATTTAAAAACTATGTTTAAACAACAAGCGATGTATATCAGATACTGAAATATGCATAATTTATTCGCAGCATATATCAAAAGTCATGTATGAAATATGAGGGAATTAAAATCTAGATTATGCATGAAAATTCGAAAAACATTGAAATGTTTCCAAATAATTTATTTATTTAAGCAAATAAAAGATTTATATACAAGCAAATAACATAAGCAAGATTCAGAAAGTGACAGCAGAGATAAACATATCTTTATCTCAAATTTACATTGAATATTTATGCAAAATATTTTTATTCTTTAATAAATATTCAATATACGTTTTATTTTTGAAATATGAGAAATATTTTTGATAGATCAAAAATTTCTACTGCAAAAATTAGAACAGTTTGAATAATCGAAATAATAAATAAGATATCAATTTCCCATTTTAAGCAATGCAGTTTGTCCTATGTGTTATATTATTTTATTTTTATTGTTATTTTATTTTTATTATTATTTTATTTTTATTATTATTTTATTTTTATTATTATTTTATTTGTATTATTCTATTTTTATTGTTATTCTATTTTAATTTTTATACCATCAAATAAATCTTTATTATTATACCAACAA